AATCGATTCTAGAAATCAGTGACGATACCCAGCCCTAGTTCAAATGCAGTCTTTTTACAAAGGCAAAAAAAGCTCAGTTGTACCAGTGGTAAGGTCACGCTTGGAGCTTGACACTCTGCTGTGTCTGAGTATTTCAGGGTAAAAGGATCAAGCTCTTGGGCAAATTAATATGGAGCAAGCCATAACTGCAATTTCAATGGCTACTGGGATGTGAAAACTGTGTGTACTGTATAGAATCAACCGTCAGAGTCGATAAAACCCTGTAAAAAGTTCAGTTACTTTGCACCAAAATATAGTTTGAAAAGTTTATTTTTTTCACTTGCAGGTTGGGGCAGCATGGTGGTTAGCACTGTTACCTCAAAGCAAGAAGGTTCTGGGTTCAATTCCACTATCAGACCAAACTGTGTGGAGTTTGCATGTTCTCATTTTTGTGGGTTCTCCCAGCTTCCTCCCACAGTCCAAAGACACTCTTAGTGGGGATAGGTTAATTGAAGGGTGTACCCTGCCTCTCGCCCTAAGTCAGTTGGGATAGGCTCCAGTGCGACCTGCGACCTTGAAAAGGATGGATGCAGGTTGTACTTGTACTACAGAGTGCTGACGCTATGATTGTGTGTAGCTCATCCCAGCAAACTATCAAACAACTTCTCTTTGTCGCTGCCTTACGATGCCTCTTGTTTAGATCAGGTTCACCGTGACATTTAGAAACGTGCAGTGAAAAGTTTTTGTTTGCTATGTCTTGATGCATTCTCAATCATCCAGGAAAATAAACCTCCAAAAGTTGATTCTGATCATCTGGACGTAGCGTTTTCTGGGAGAAACGTTTCGTCACTCATCCAAGTGACTTCTTCAGTCTCAGCTGACCGCAGGTTTCCCCAATATTATAAACAGTACATTTGCATAATGACTGAAACCAGCCCACTGTTTATAAGTTTGGGGAAACCTGCAGTCAGCTGAGACTGAAGAAGTCACTTGGATGAGTGACGAAATGTTTCTCCCAGAAAACGCTACGTCCAGATGAACAGAATCAACTTTTGGAGGTTTTTGTTTGCTAGTTTAGAACAAGTAATTTAACCCTCTGGGGTCTAAGTAACCCCGTGTGCTAATCCTAACCCTCTGCATATTGGAGGAGCAGACTTTTTTTTATAACATCCACTGCACCAGAAACAGTTGGTGCATAGGGTGACAAGGGTCTTCTCAAACCTATAGTTGTTAGGCATCAATCTTTGTTCACTGTCCACACAGATTCCCATTTTACGAAGTGGTAATTAGTAAATGTCAGGAGAACTTCCTAAAGTTCTTGTGTGTGTGTGCTGGTGTGTTGCAGAGCCCTACAGCCCAGCGGTGTGGGTGATGATGTTTGTGATGTGCCTGTCGGTCGTGGCTGTCACCGTCTTCATCTTTGAGTTCTTCAGCCCCGTGGGATACAACCGCAGCCTGCAGAGCGCTAAGAGTAAGTGACGGAGTCGCTCCAGTGTCTGCACGCCAATCAACCCACCACCACTGCTCATTTCACAGCATTATTACCAACTTGTCACTTTGTCAGTTATGTAAGCGAGGGGGGGCTGATTTGAGGAGGGTGTTTGTCCAAATTATTATAATTAAGCGTTCCGCTTTTTTTTTTGACTGCACATGATTCAAAACAATCACTTCACACCCACAATGTGGCTTATTTAATAATAATGAAACAAACGCCGACTGCGTGGTGGTGGCTGATGTTGACGTCTTTACAGTACTTGTCACTTCACCATTATTGCAACGATTTACTGTGTGCGTCTCTGCCCAGACACATTTATTTTTAATTAGAACCTGTTGTTCTTTATGTTTTAATAAACTGACACAAGTAGAAGTGAACTCATTTTATGTGACAGGTAGATGTTTGCGCACGCTCGTCATTTTTCTTTCTTCTGTATCCGCTTCAAGCATGTTTAAATCTTATTCTTATCTTATTATATAATCGTTTCTATAGTTTATATCCTGAAAAAAGTCTAATAAGCTAAAGTTTAAAGGTCTACTTACCAGTTTTTGGCGGTCGCAGAGACTTGTGCATCTCTGTCGTCCTGTTTTTTTCCAACATTTCCAGGATGTCAAACACTAGTGTTGTGTCAGAAGCTGCCAGCTTCCCAGAAATACAAAACCTTGACACACTGACCATTGCAATGGTAGATAGTATAAGACGTACTATATAGCAGTCCCAGGGCTCGCAAAATTTCAAAATCCCTGGTAGCCTTTCGGGCAGGGACTCTTCAGTTTTTGGTAGCCCAAAATAAATTTAAGTAGCCCGAATAAAAAAGAGAGCAATTTTTGATTGATGTTTTGTTTCCTTTACAATATTATACATTAAAGTATAATATTGTAACGGAAACAAAACATTAATCATAAAATTGTTGAACACAGTTCGCGCGATTGCAAAGTGAAAGCAAAAAACAAGCACAAATTCAAACGTGATTTCAATATGTCACATATTGACAGTGGCTCACCGATGCCAATGACATAATTACCCAGCTACATTTCCGAAAGAATGCAAAAGCATTGACATATATTTTTCCTTCCTATGACAGCCCGACGGGCAGGGCAGAGATAGATTTTGGTAGCCCGACTGGCAAAATTGCTAGCCCCGGGACGTCGGGCTAGCGATTTTGCGAGCCCTGAGTCCTTTTTTTTCCAAGAGCATAAAGCTCATGGAAGGGTTGGTGTTGACCTACTTCACCAGTTTGGTAGCTAGACGATGGTCCACTTTGGGATCTTTCAACATGCTTTTTGCTTTCCCTCGCTACTTAGTCAGAGTTAATCACCAGATTTAGGAAAATATTATGGTCCCTGCACATTAAACATTTAAAAGTACCGTTTGAGTTTAAGGAGGATCTATATGTGATGAGTTCACACTTCAGTGGCTTTGACAAAACAGTAACATATTATCCATTCTATGACTTAAATACGTCAAATTAACTTCCACTTCACTCAAATATAATACACTTTAAAGTGTAAAGACACTATAAAGTGCCTCGTGCGCTTAATTTGTGCACTCATTACTTGAAGAAAAGGTACTTCAGATACTTCAAAGTAATCTCCACACATCTGTACCACATTTACATACTTACTATACATACATACATACATACTGACTGTGTTTCCATAAACGTGCAGCTTCACCTTTAATGTTGAACAATGAGCTATAGTCAGGGTCTTTTTGTTCTTTTATTTCTCATCCTTCTGAGACTTCACAGCACAGCGATTCACAGCGTAATGACCTTACATTCAACACGAGGGTGTGTACTGCCAGGCTTAATAACTTTAAATAAGTCCTCTTCTCAGTTACGTCTGTTTGAACTTTCAACATGAGACGTTTCTTAGATCACTGCAGGGCAGCTGGTCCATACAATCACTGCAACTCAGCGTGTTAATGTTGACGTTCTGTGTTGTCACAGCAACAGCGTCCACATGTCTAATTTCTACTTTAATTTCAAAGTCTTGGCTCTGTCCCTGTATTTCCAATTAAAAGTCTTAAAGCAACAGTGGACTGTGACTATTACAGATAACAACGTGCTTCTGTTTGCTAGCATTACCTGATTTTAGGCAAATATTTCATTCACAGTGTCACCAAGGCCACACAGTTATGCGCTGCTCTTTAATGGCGGTTAACCAAACTATTATGAAACCAACTAGTTTCTGTCTTTGAAGCATCTTGGAATTATTTTTTCAAAGTACAGAATACTTTCAATAGTGTTCTGTAACTTTTGAAATACTTTTAATATACATTTTATATAAAACTGTTTCTTCTGCATCTCATTGTCTTGAAAATTTCCGTTGGATCCGTCCTGCCCCACAGAACCTCCACTACTTGTTACCTGTTGGCTTTGCTTTCTGTGAAACCACAAAAGACTAAATTTTACCCAGAACCATGAACCCGGACCTGGAACCTGGACCTCAGCAATGATCTTAAGTGACTAAAAGGAAATCTTTATGAATGAGTGAAGATATGGGAAATATTTATACTTCTATTACTACTGCTAGTAGTAGTTATAGAGGATGATAGTACATGCTATAGAATATTTCCTCTGTGGCAGCGGTGCTGAATCAGCCTGTTAGAGATGGTGTACCACTGCCTGCCAGTAAATGGTGCAAAGGGATCAGTTCAGTGGCCTTCTCCGTATGGATGTGAGCACCGTGTCACAAATATTAATGTCTTTGTTGCTACTCTAAGAGTGTTGTGTTTCTTCCTAAGAGCATACATTTGGATATTTAAGTCATCTCTTAATATTTCTTTGAAAATAGCTTTTTTTCCCCCAACTCCGGCCTTAATTCATCACTCAGCAAAGTTTCCAGTAATGTCTTAAACAGGTATTACTTTCCTTCATAAACACACTGTCTGTCTGTCTGTTTCTCAGAGTCAGGGGGATCTAAGTTCACCATAGGGAAATCTGTCTGGCTGCTCTGGGCTCTGGTCTTCAATAACTCTGTGCCTGTGGAGAATCCCAGAGGAACCACCAGCAAGATCATGGTAAATTTAGTCAAATGGCTGTGTTTTTTATTTTGTTTTAAATTTATTAATTGTGTGAATGACTCATCAAACTAGAGCATCGATTACAGTCAACTCCAGGTCCAATATTTATTGGTCAATTTTAACCATTTTAATCGTTTTAATAGCAAAAACTTTAGCACCTGCCAAATCAATCATTTGGGACAATTCTTTAAAAAAATCCACTGACCAGCTCAGTAGGAGCAAACAGCTGGAATGACCACAGAAGAGCAATAAAATTCATGTCCATTAAATTTGTTCCATGTTTAAGGAAAATAGCTTCATAGCATCTAACCAAGTCAAGAACATTCTCGAGGAGGACGTTTTATCATCATCACGGTCTACAATGAGCAGGTGACTTCATGATTACAGAGGACTTACAGCCAAGTGGAGTAGCACAGTTTTGCAGTGGTTGCCTCACAGCGAGAACGTCCTGGATTTGAATTCATGTTCTCCTCATACTCGGGTGGGTTTTTTCTGAGAGCTCCAGTTTTCTCCACATTACAAAGTTTGAGCTACTTGGCAATTCTAAATTAGTCATAGGTGTGATTGTGTCAGTGGTTGTTTATGTCTCTGTACATGGACTGCCAATCTGTCCAGGGTGTACCTGTGTGACAGCTGGGCTAGATTCCAGATCCTGAGCTGGGTATGCAGAAGAAAATTGATACAACAATGTATAAATCACTAGTTAAGCACAAGAACAAGAAGACCAGATTGCACTTTGCCAGAAAACACATAAAAGAGCCTGCAGAGTTCTGGAAAAGATTCTTTGGACAGATGAACATAAGATTAGAGATCAGAAAGTAAAGTAAGGAGAGAAAGAGCTCATGATCCAAAACATAGCACCTCATCTGTCAGACACAGTGGAGGGAATGTTGTGCTGTTAGTCTTTATTGGCTGTAACTGCTAATAAAAGTAGCAGGATGACTTCTGAAGTGTACAGGGTTGTACTCCGAATGCTGGCAAACAGTGCAAATGGATAGTGAACTAAAGCATACTGGGAAAACCCAAGAGTTTCTTAAGGCAATGGAATGTGAGATGAGAAATGGGATTTTAACCAAAGCGCTAAAATTTATTCAGTTTTATAAAACCAAAGGCCGACAGAGAAATAGCAACTGAAGGCGAGTGCAGGGAAGGTCTTTACTGCAGCCACCCTCAGGAGGTAACACAGCGTTTGGAGATGGCCACGGGTTCTAAACTTTAGTGCGTCGTTGAATAAAAAGGATTTTCATACTTGATTTTCATTAAGTATTAAAAATAGGGATGCAACGATACCAATTTTTTCAAACCGATACGATACCGATACTTGGATCTGAGTACTTGCCGATACAGAGTACAAAAACCGATACTTCTACCACACACACACACA